AATAATGTAAAAACAAGAAAATGTTTTAAAATTGTATTCTAATTTTTTTATGGGCTTGTATGTAATATTGTGGACATCCACAGTGCTAAGTTAGAGGGGAATCTATTGTACAACACTACTACACTAGTTATTATGTACGTGATACTCATTTACTTAATAATAAATTACAGATAAAATTTTTTAGATTAAAATACTAATTTATTATAGTCCAGTCATGAAATAATTTCAAAGATTTAATTGTAATATTAAATAGTCGAAAATAAATTGGGTCTAGACACTTGTTTTGCTTAATCTTGTTTCATAAGAACAATTATCAAGATAATTTCAAACAACTTATGTCTGAGTTATTGACATGCACTTGATGCATTTGAATAACATACATATTTCGTAAATAAAGATACTAATTATAATTGCACTGAAGTTATAAACATTATTTTGTTGATTCCTTCGTCAAATACAATTATTTTATAACAATAAAAATTAGTAAAAGAATTTTAATATTCATAACGATGACAATGCACATTTTCCATATAATTATGATGATATTTTACTGCAATAGCAATTTTTTAATGAAATTATAAAAAAAAAACCTTGATAAAAAACCATTTTATTACGAGGCCCTTTACCTTACGCTGATTTGTCTTTAAACGAATTCTGTGTGCGCTCCCGTGCTTTACAGCTTCGAATTACCTCAAAGAAGCGTGTTACTCGACGATTTATTTGCAACCAATGATCGAAGGCGTGTCTGGTATAATAAAGCAACTCGTTACATTAATAACATTAATAACACGGAGTCGGGCAAAAAAAAACTGGAGGTACCTATGAACAGAAAAAAAGGCACTACTCGTGGTAGTTGCGCAATCGACGCGCGATCCATCTTTTATCTGATACAAAAAAAAAGGAGAAGTATTATGGTATAATGGAAGGAGAAACATATCCGTATCAGCTCGCACGATTCCCTCCTGCATTAACGCGGAAAAAATTGCATAATTCACGTGATGAGTTTCCTTTCCTCGTTAAGTGGAGCCTTGGAATATTAAATGCAAACACACGGTGCGCGTGGCTCGTGTAAAAATGAAAAGCCGTTGGCTCTCAATAGCGCCTCGGCTTCCTTTTCAGAGACGTGACGCGGGAAAAACGCCCTTCGCGTCGTCACCTCTTTTTGCGAAAAAAAGAAATAGCAGCAGCAACAGCCACAACAGTGTCGTCGAAGACCGAAACGTTTATTTAGCGCCTCTTTGACTCTCAATTACTCTGACGAGCTTCGCAACATGTTCGCGTGAAAGCTGCGGCGCGAATAAGGGGTTTTGAATGTGCATTGGAGCGAGGTATTGACGGAGAAATGTGCTTACGCCTTTTTATCGCGTGTTTTTAAAAAATTCCCGACCCCCTTTGCATTTTTCATTCATTCATTTATACTTGAATTGAATAACCGAACCTTTTTTCTTTTTAATACCATTCAGCCAGTTTATCAATTCAATAAAAATATTTTCAAGAAGAGTCGTGATCTTTTGGTAAAAGATATTCCCACCTAATGAAGGATTTATTTAGTCATTAAAAAATACATGGGTATTAATATTAAGTCCGATTGCATACTGGGTGGCAAAAGTTAACAAGTGGTACATCTACAATTTTTATAAAAGACAATGTGAACAGATGATTCGTCGAAAAAATTTGTATAATACATCTTTCCGCTACTCATGAGGATCTAATACAAAGTAATGATTTACGAGCCACGTTGATTGATGTGTGATTAATATATTTGATAAGGTATACAGGAAGTTATAATTTTAAATTCAACTGACACGGTTTCTTTCGAGGTTTCTTTCGCTCATTTAGTGTTTTTTAAATGTCTAATAATTTTCCTCACAACTTAACGATAGTGATAATTGACTTTTATTTTTGAATAATACAAGCATCAGTGGATTATAATAAAAAAATAAGATCAAAATCAAGTGGAAGACGAAATGTGTACATGACATTATAATACATTATAATATACTTTAATTGAGTTTGAATTTCTCGTAGAATTATTACTTTATATGGTTTTTTATTTTGTATTTTTTTTTTATTCATTTTTACTATTGAGTTTTCACAAATATTTTACCCATTAACATGATTTGTTGGAAAAAAATCGCATGTATGAATAGTAAATCATGAAATTCATTAAAAACTTAATAAGGGAGATTCAAAAACATATGAATATAATGTTCCAACGGAACCGGCGGTAAACATCTTTTTCAGGTTTAAACCTCTGTTAGATGTAACCCTTGGAAATTCGCTTCGAAAAATATTCTTTAAAATCACACAGATTTGTTACATCAACAATACACAAAAATCCAAAGCATCGAAGCATCGTGATCTCACCCCACCGCGACCACCAAACCCAATGATCATCAAATGTATGAGATACGCACTCATCCCCCCATACGTCCCGACATCAACGAGTCGCCCCATAAACCGCTATCTCGGCCATAAAATGAAATTGCGCGTATACATTTGGTGGTCGGAGAGGGTCTTAGGAAAGAGACGACACTTTAGGGTTGTCCGTTCGTCTCTACGACGGCACGCCATTGATCGCCGTTATTATCTTCCCTAATTCGGCGAACGGAGCGTCAAAGGCTTTATCTCCTGCTGTAATGTCCCCAGCGGTTTCGGGACTGTTTGGTCCGCTGATGATAGTGTGTGTTCGCTTTTGCGTTGCACTTACCGCGATACTGGGTACTTACACGATATTCGCCTAGGGCGGTGCGACTAGTCATGACCACGTGAAATAAATAAAGTGACACTATACACTTAGTGATCAAATATAAAATTTAGTCATAACTAGCTAAAAAAATACACCCTTGACTTTTTTTACTAATTTTTCATAATAAATTTTTAACGTATCTAACCTGTAGACTTGAAATAGTACATCCCTGCGTTTCCTTTTTTAAAAAAATCATGCAAATTACTTGGTCTAGATAAAAAAAAATCTCTGCCTCGCTCATTTTTGTGGTCAAATACCATAATTAGGATTTATTTTACTTTACAAAAAACCATAACTTAATCGGATGCTTTTCCTATTTTTTACACACTGAAAGAGAATTTTAGAGATAAAAGAAAATATTCATGGAAATACTTGCAAATAAATGATCTCTTGAATTAAGCTTGTACATTCATACTTTGAGAAAATATTTATTTCAAACGAGAAAATTCTCTTAATGTAGAAAAAAAAATACTATCTTGTTTCGAGAGAATATTTACATTGGCACATACGTGAAATACGGTTTACCTGAACCTTTTTAAAATTTAACCACATGAAAGTAATACCTGCATGAAGATACACTCAATAATGATAATACCTTCAAGAAGATTCAAAAAAATTATAAGAAAATGACTTTCGTGTACCATTACCACAACAGAACGTACCACATATTTTATAACTCTGCGTCAACGGTATGCGTCACCTTGTGGAAGACCGTATAACTGCTTGCAGCCTAGGTCGGGTGAGATGACTTTAAACTCACGGCCTACCTTTTCTGAACTCCTCCATCCTTTAACATAATCCTATGAACATTCACCCACATTAACACTGACATACTCCTGTGGCATGGACGCTTTGGATCGTTTGCGGGGTATGGCTGCCGCCCGTAACCCTGTGCTTGGACGAGAGCAGGAGGTGAGACTACTCGATGCGGTGGCCGGGGAGGCTTGGTTATCTCTACCGCTGATAAAGTCGGACGTCCATAAATAAAAAAGATGTGGCGATCCTTTTAATTAAGGAATCTGGCCATTGAAGGACTATATGGAGGGCACTTTTAGTGCACGCCAGCCGGTACTCTCTCGCACGGCCGGGGTTTGTAAGGTGACGGTTGTCTTGCCCTGGCTTGTGGCCTGGGGTGGACATGACACGGGAGAACCGCACATTTGCACTATAAACAATACCCTATCACCTAGTTTACTTATTCCTGGGAACTCCTAAAAAAGGTTCGACGTGTTTGCCGTGTGGAGCGACCCGTGAACTACCACAGGGAGATCCTGGGCTGCAAGCCGAAATGACCCGAACTGTCTTTGGCTCCTGCTGACTGCAAAACTGGAGGCTGGATTTCTAATCAGGTCCGGTCAACAGGCTAACACTGAGGGAGCCGCGTTGTTTCGGGTTGGATTGGTGGTGCTGTATCGGTGATTTTGCTGGGCGGCAGTTGCCTGATCCTTGTGCCTGCTTGGTCTGGCATGAACTTGCTTGGATCGGCATGGTTGCTGGTTCTCTCTGGCTGCGTGGCCTCTTCAGTGTGGTGAGTGCGTTCTGTTGCGTGCTGTCTGTGGGAAACTATGCAGCCTATTTATAGAGCGCTGGATAACGGGTCCTCAGGGACCCTGAGTCCTTTTCAGGACTCGATATGATTGGCACCTCTAACAACCAGTGGCTCCATCTTGAAGTAATGCTAACGTGGTTCCAGGGTGAAACTAAAGCCACGTGGCACGTGGTTATTAGTGGTCTAATAAAAAAAATCCACCGAGTCCCACTCTACCGCTGGCCCTGCTGTGTGCCTCAATGGATTATCCCTCCCTCCGCAAAAAACCGTATTTCATAACTGCTTTTCATTGAAGTTCATTTTAATCAACAGTTTTTTAGAACCTAATTTCATCTAACAGCACTTCTATTACAAATACATGCAACAGTTGTTCCTTTTATGACGTTTTTTTTGTAAATTTATCCAGTCATTTGGTAATTGATCGTCAAAAATTTTTTTCTTAATTTCAATTTAAAAAATCACATCCTTTAATTTTTTCATTGATAAATATTCGAAAACGATATTGTTTTCTCTACATCCTATTAACGCCACTTCACTTGTCTCACATTTGACTTCTCAAGCGGCACAGGTCACACTGTCCAAGGTAAATATCGTATTCTTCAGTTAAATGATTACATTTGAATGAATTGAATGAAATACGTGTACGTATGAAATATAATATCAACCGTAACAATCAAAATCATGCAAGTACATGGAGCTCACCTCCGAATTACTAGTAGCAATGCTACTCAGACTCGGCGACATGGCGCCCGTCGTGAGATCCGGACTGGGTTCCACGTGTTGTCCCTTCCCTGGCAGTAAACTAGGTGCGTGTGGGTACGAGGTGAGGTGTGGATGCTGTTGTTGTTGTTCGATCAAATGCACCATAGGATCGGGTGGCGCGCTGTGTACCGTCATTGGACCCGTGTCGAGTATCGTTGGGGCCTGGTGGGCCGATGCTGTGTCCAAACTACCGTGGCTATCGCTGCCTGCCGTCGTTGTTGTCGTCGCGGAACCGTCCAACGACGAGCTCGATAGGTTGGCCGACATGGAGCGAAACGACTCGTGGAGGTACTGGCGCACTTGGTTCTTTTGCTTTTGCACGACGTGGTAGCGCGTTGGATTCTCCAGCAGTGTTCGCACCTAGAAATAAGAGAAAGGGATTAGTGTTGGGTTTTTTTTTTTTTTTTTTTTTTTTTTCTTTTATAACGAAACTTTCAAACTTTTTAGTAGATTTATCCATCAATCATTTTACAAAAATCGTTTATTCAGTAATATGGAATAGTTAGAAATTTCTTTCGTAATAGGAGCAATCTTTTCGTGTCGTCTACATTTTTCTCCACTTTATGCGTTTTTGAGAGGCTGGTGTGTTATGGCACAAATACTCTATTCAAGACACCAGGAGCACGACAATCTGGAGATCTCAAACTTCTACCTTCATAACTTTGGGCAAAAGTAGGGTAGAGCTCCGCATTAGCGAGTTACTGTTTAATTTTTCAATTATCCCACCGTACGTTACCACGTCCATATCCCCCCATCCCAGCCAAAAAAGCATACTGCGTTAAATTTTCCCTCATTCGATGAATTTCCAGTTTTCCCTATTGTATCGTATACCTACATGATGTATTCACATCCGTAAAATATGCGAACTAATATCCTGTCCTTTCAGTACCTAAAAATCATCGTGTGTATAATTTTTCCACTTCCAAAAATAAATTAAAAAAATTATGGAGTACTCCATACTGTTCATTTTAATTCTTAACAAACAACAAAAAAAGGGGGGGAGGGATGATGCGAGTCGACTCTTTTTTGTTTCGAACCTTCACAATCTAATAAAAAGAAAGAGAAAAAAAACATACGTGACAAAAAAAAATTTAGGTCACACAAAGAGCCTCTCATTCAGCTTCGAGCGTATCCGAGAACCGAGAAATCCACGAAAAAAAGTAAACGATGACAATTGCTTTTACCTTACCTCAAAAAAAAAAAAAAAAAAAAAAATCTGCGACACTTTCGTGTTTCACGAGGGAAGACATCATCCTCACCTTTAGTCGTCGATTCTCGTCCGAAAGCAACTCGAGACGACGCGCACCTAGACCCTTTTTTTTTCTTTATCAGCCAAAGGGCGTGAATTACAATACCCCGCCTGACCTTGCCTGTGGGAGTCCTCCCAGCTTCTTTGAGCAGAGAGTGTGCGTTTCTTCGACTCAGACGTGAGGCATTGTTCTTTTTCCTCCCTTTTCGACTTTTTTTTTTTTTTTTTTTTTTTTTTTTTATCGCACAACTGCTCGAGAGAATTTCGCGTATGTCGTATTGTGTACTACTGCTGTTCGTTTGACCTCCTCAGATGCGCAAGTGGGAAAGGTGCAGTTAAAACGAATTCGCTAGGACGAAAAGAAGAATATCGTCGCACGCGCCAAACGTACGTATTATCTTTGTGTATTTCTTTTTCTTTTTTTTTTCCTTGAGTGTCCCCTTTGTTTTATTGTTCTGAGCGAGGGCGTCTTTCTTGCTTTCTCTTGGTTCTTGATAAGCCCAAAGGATAAACAGTGGAGTATAAAAAGGGGGTGAGAGGTCGAATTTTGAGATTTGTCTCAGGAATTTGTTTTTATGCTGGTAAGATAACGCCCGGCAAGAGTAGCGTTTGAGGCGGGTGATGCGTGCGGGTCGGAGTTGACTTTTGATGTGGTTGTCGTGGGATGCCGTGCATTACAAATGATGTGGAAATAAAAGAAAAATTACTCTTGAATTTGGATATCGCGATCGGATGTTTGCTGCTTCGATCGTTTTTTGTGACAAAAAAGCTGTACTGTAGCATGAATTTTTATAAGTACGGCATGTACTTTCGTTATCTAATCGATATGAGTTTCTTTTAACAGTGTAGGGACACGGTGAAGGGTCTCTGTAGAAATGTCATTTTTTGTATTTGATAGATTATTCAGTATCACGTGGCTCTTGAAACAAATGTTGAGAAATTTTTTTAACTTACGAGGAATCACTGCAGTATTCAACTCGTGAGAAGTGTTTTCGATGGATTATCCTACAAAAAATTTTTCCAAATTTGAAGAACATATCAACAAAAAAGTACCATTTTCCAGACTTTTTTGACAATTCACGATTTTTGACTCAGATTTTAACTAGATTTTCACACAATTTTCTGTTGCAATATTAAGTCTACTACCCCAGGAAAAAGTAACGAAAAGTTTTATTCGGTTTTATCTAGGCTTATTTATATAAGTTTCATTTTTTTTTATATTTTCATAGAGTTTTTCATACAACTTAATCAATANAAATTATCAAGAGAATTGATTATTATACGAGTAAAAAATTTTACAATTATGTCACAATAAATTCAAAAGATTATGAAGGTTTTCATCATGTCGCTGATAATAAAAAAAATTACTTAAATACGATTTTTTAGAGTAAGTATTTCTAAGATCTTAATTTTCCGTATGTAGATGCTCTAATTTTAAGTTAATTTTTTTAAGGGGGAAAGTGAATTTAAGATAGAGAACCGTATTTTTATTCTACGAGCGTAGTCGTAGGCATGGCTCCCAAATTTTTCAAACATTTCAAAAAGCTTCATAATCATAAATCTTAAACTATACAACCTATACTCATTACAAGTTAAATAAAAAGTGACAAAAAATGCAAAAAAAAATGCAAAAAAAAAAAAAAAAAAAGGAAAGATGCTTGAAGAAGAATGTGAGGGGCTTGCTCATTTAATATGCCATACAAAAAGACCTCTTTTTAGCCTGCAAGCAGCGAGAGCAGCCGAGCTTGCACTAGTAGGTAGTCTATATATGTGCACCTAGCAAAGCAAGGTTGGTAGTAGCAGTAGACGGATATTAAAAAATTGAAGCAGAATTTTCTGGAACGCGCCGCGCCGGGCAACGTGCAAATTTCCGCGGACTCGTAAACACTTGTTTCGCCTCCTCTTCGTACGCGTATGTGTGGGCGTACACTACGGACAAAACTCCCCGCCGGCAACTCTGTATCGAATCCCTTTTATTTACCCGTGAAAATTGCACTTTGCTCACACGCCAACACACCCACTCGGGTAGCTGTAGCTATAGGCGCGTGCGAGAAAACTTGATTAGCTTCTGTATCCGCGGGTGGATGCCGTTTTTTTTTTTTTTTCCGGACCTTTATCGCACTCTCATAAACTTCTTTTCCCACTATTGAAAAATCATGCATAGACTTTCGGTAAGTGATGTTATAAAATCTTTTCTTTCCTTTTGATTTTTCTTTCTTACAGTTGATATGTTTTATTTCTTGTAAAATTAAGGTGGATTTATTCGTCTTGGTTATTGATCAAGTGTTGTAGTATCAAACAGGAATTTACAAGCTGAGTTGGAATTTAAAAAAATCTGCTGTCGTTACGTTTCATAATTTTATTTCACTTAGTACCTGGAGAACTTGCGGTGGCACATCGACGCCGATGGTAGGCATACTCGTGGGTGGCACAGGTCTGGGGGGTGCCGCTGCCGGCCTCTGTTGCTGCAAGCTCTGTCGAAACTCGGCTTCGCGACGCTCCTGCTCTTGAAGTTGCTCGCGCATCAACTGGAGCTTCAATTGAGTGCGCGACGTCGGCGTTGCTGTCTTGAATGTCGGTGGACTGAAAAATTGAATAAAAATTAGTGTTTTGGTCATTTGGTAGTTTTTTTTCCTACGTGCAAAGGTTAGATGAAAAGAAATCTTATCTATCAGTGTTAACGTTCATTATTACTCAAATTTTGATTTATTTGTATTTAATTGGATGTCACACATGCTTTGTACAAAAGAAATTTTCCTCATAAATGAAACATGGCTTTGTTTTTATTACTTTACTATTGTTTCACAAAATTCAAAGACAGTATTACTTTTAAATAAAAGTATTTCAAAATAGGTGACTGCACTGTTAAAAATTAGTTCAATCATGAAAAAAAGTATATTTAAAATTGAACAGACTATACAAAATTTATGTTCATGATATTTTACACGAATTTTCTGACAAAAATGCTCCAAAAATTATGCAGAAGATATTTTTGTTTAATTTTTACATCTAATTCATGCGATTTAATAATTCACACTGATTCATATGATTAAAAATTTTTATTAACAAAAAAAAAGTTCTTAAAACCATTTTAAAATAAGACCTACACATGGTATCGAAAAAAATTTTTTTAATAAAATTAAACAGCCCCATTTTTTATTACGGGTACAATCTGTTGATTATCAGATGTGAATCATTTCGTTTATTACAATTTTAAAATATTTTCTGCGTAAAGACCTTTCCTAAGAAACCAACTCTTAAATTTTGTTTGATGGTAGAGTAAGTCGCAGCACATCAACTATACATTTGCATTTTGTAAGACTCAATATACATCGAAATAAAATCAAATGTCTATCATCATTAAGATGAATTTCTGCTGGCAACTAGCAGTTTCAAGTCTTTTTACACTAGCTTTCTTTGTGCAGTAGTAAACTATGCACTAAAAATTAATATTTCGATCCAAACTTCATTTTTTAATTACAAAAAAGGTGTAACACTTATTGTGTTAAAATGATTGAATATTCATCACACTTCATAACCAATTTTTTCCCATCACTATTAATCAATAAAACGAACGATATAGAATTTAATCCAATCAACTTAATTGTCGATTTCAATTACGATAAAATAAAATAGCAATTCTATGACGTAATTGAAAATGACGCCTCCCAGTGCCCAAAGCTATACATGGCTCTCCTGGATGTACACACACATATACGCGTGTGGCTCAATTTGTGTTTCCACGTGACATAATTATCATGGGTACTTTATGTATACAGTATGGCGCATAATAATTACAGAGTTTAGAATAATTATCTAGTTAATAGACAAGCGCGCGAGTGCGAGTTCTCGTCCCAAAGTATTAATAAATTCACAACGAAGTTTAGCTAATTACGCTAATCAACTCGAAGCACTGCACTTGTTATTGAATATATGGTACAAATTAGATTGGGCGTGAAAATACATTTCCATGTTTGCAAAGATTAAAAATTGTCGAGAAAAAACATAAAATAACAATCAGTAATTCAAATACGATGCCCACACTTCTGTGGAAAACCTCAAAATTCACATCAAAAATGAGCCTAAAACATAATTTTTTTTGGACAATACAAATTGAAAACAGAGAGCGCTGCTATATTATCTTGCGGCTCCTTCGAACCTCCATATTATAATGAACACATCCACACCCGAAACGCTGCACTCGTATGGGCTCTACATATACATATACGTGTTCATTGTTGTTGCAAAGCCTACCATCTGGCGCGCACACATCCAGGAGAACCCGTCGGCCGTCGGCCTATAGATGCACTTATGTGCGCAGGTGGTAGTATACCGACTACCGAGAGATTCCGACTTCCGACGCCGTCTGTTTACACCTTCTGTGCGACAGATAATACGTATGTACCTATTGCGATACATACATGTAGGCCACGTGATATCTCTGGCGCGCGTCAATGCGAAGACGCGAACGTCGCCTGGTTGGTAATACGCGTGTTAGCTTTGCGTCGCCTCAAATTCTGTGAGTAGTTGAGGGAGTTAATTGAAAATTTAATGGGACGTATGCAGAGCGTATGCGTATACGTATGATGGATGCGTTGAGTTGTCTTGGATGTGAATTTTATTTAAAAATTTGAGTCAAGGGTGCTCCAAAGTTGAAAATAATTTTTTTTCAAAGCGCAGTTTTGGGAGACTGATTTTTATCTTCCCAATGCTTTCAGGGGTATGAAAAAATGTTCAAGAATGTAACAAATAAGTTGTAGTATTAAAAAAAAAAAAAATTGTAATTTCTGTCACAGAAGAGCCATCGGGGCTTTTTTTTGGACTTGAAAGATGGAAGGGTAGTCCTGGTTAAAGCGTAGTAACTCCTGTGGAAAAGAGTGTTTTTATAAATTATATATTATACATATTTATATTTTCTAACAAATCAGTAAACAGATGTACCATGCTACAATTATCTTACAATAACGACAATCTCATCATTTTTTAATGTGCGTGAAAGAAAAAAAACTATTGTCCTGGAGCTGTGCTTTAAAAATACTTTCATTTTAATTTTATAGGGCTCCTAGAGTATTTCGAAAAATTATTTTTATTCATTTTACATCAGAGTTACACTATTTATTGAATTCATATTATTATTATTTAGGGGTAGATGGACCAATTATCGAGGGTTTCATATAACTAATTAATAGAGTGTGATTTATGAGCAAATTTTAGTTTTTCACTGGTGAAAGTATTCAAAGGCTCGAATTTTTATTTAAAAATAGTTTAAATAATTACACAAACTTCATTCATATAATATTATAACTCAGACCCTCGATAATAGGGATAGAGCTTGGCTGTAAGGGATGTGAGTGCCATGGCCACCCAGTCCTGATTTATTGATCTTTAAATGAAAATCATTACATACCATTTTATATTAATAAATTTCAACTTGCCATAAAAATATTTGAGATGCAATCTAGTCTCTCTGGATCTACATTTTAAGAAATACACTTATAAAACATTTACGGACACAACACATTTCATATGTGAGACATAATTCCTGTTTGAAAAATTGATCACTTACTTATTCTAAAATCATAGAATAACTAAATCACAATTAACTAAAATAAATTAAAAAAACTCTTAATATAACGGAAAATTTGATTTCCGCGAAAAATAATGCAGCTATAAAATTACCCACCCCTCTCCGTGTTTCTGAAAATTAATCATCCAACATGTTCGAAATCGGAGCCAGAAAAATTCTCATTTTGAAGCTCATAAGTGTATATTTGCATATCTGTTTCCAACGCGTGTCTGCAGCTATACAAAATAATCACTCATTGATGCGCAAGCATGGCTGCGGCAAAATTAAAAGTTGAGCGACAGCAATTCCCGCAGGAACGCATGTGCACATAAAGAATACACGAAACGTCTCTATTATTTCATGACTCGTTCGTTTTTTTTCTTTCCATTTCGTTCCTTTATTTTTGCTCGTTGGGTTTCATTGTGCATTATGCGTGCACGTAGCTATCGGAGCTGCCTGATCATTGTTTTCGCTACTACTTATTGGTTGTCAAGAAATATACACATAATATATTCGAGGTCGATAGCTATTCGACGTAAGGTGACTTTTGGAAATTGCAAATTATCTTCGGTTTGTTGAATCTTTTTTATTTGATATTTCACTGTAAAAAATCGGTGTATTTTCGTATGCATTTCACTTGCAGGCCAATGGCTGTGCCAGCATCTACAAATGATTTTGCGGGACAAACTTTGTGTCCTTTTTGTGAAAATTATATGTATTTTCTGCATGTATTATTTAAATCAAAGTAATTGTGTTTTTTTTTTCTTCGACATATTTTTTATAGTTCCTTAAAATTGAAACTAAACATTGATAACTAAAAAAAATTGATTATATCAAACTCGTGAAAATAATACTCCCAAAGAAAAATTTATTTTCTACCGATCTACATAACTATGTAGATAATTTGTAACTTTCAAATCGTCAGCTGAGTAAAGAACACATTATCTCATAAATATTATTCAGTTCTTTTGGGATGAGATGTTTTTCCAAAGAAATTGGAGATTAGTAATACTTCAAAAACATTTTGGAGTCGAGATGTTCTTTGGCTCAGGTGAAGAAATAATGTTATTAGTACAATAACATTACAGACAAAATTTCTAATGGAAATTCTAAAAATTTTATTCTAGACATTATTGCATTTTTGAAAAAATGAACCATTCACAATAATATGCACTTTTTTAATAATAATGGTAGTTTTCCTACGAGTTTGAAACGTCTCTGTTTGCGAACCGAGAGGTTTGGGGCCCGAGCCGAAGGCGAGGGACGTAACGAGGTTCGTAAAGGAGACTTTTCGAACGAGTTCCGGAAAACTGCTTTTTCGCCCGAGGAAGTACCAGCCTCCCAAAACCACCCGAGGGCGGAAATAGTAGTTTTCCTACGAGTTTGAAAAGTCTNGGGCTATTATAATTATTGCACGGTTTTTCTCATACTGTCATAGCTAACTTAAAATATTTATAAAAATAAAAATAAATAGTGTAATATTTACTCCAAATCACATCTTGTGCAGCAAAATTAGAAGAAAAAAAATTTAATTGCCATATAGACTTGAACCAAAATGCAAAACAATTGGTGACCCGCGAGCTTTTAACTCTGACCACGCCGTCGACAATGTGTAGAGGTCGCAGGAGTTCTATAAGCTTAAGTAGAGCGTGCAATGGTGCGGCATAAGGCAGTTCTTAAAAAGTACCCTGTATGTAGTTAGAGTACAGTGAAAAAGTGTTAAAATTAAAAGTTTTTTAATGCTCTCCCCTGTGCTCGCGATGTTAAGGCGTTAATCGAGGCGTTTGCAGGTGGAAATTTAACTGTTTAAACCTTATTATTTATGACATTTAAATATTTCGTATGCTTTAAGTGTGTCTTCCTCGATAATCAAAAGTATTATTTGCGTAATATTTATGATGCATGAAATCTAAAGCTTACCGGGTTATGTAGTATGTAATGCTCAATTTTTGTACTGTTTAATTAACGAACGATAGTTTTTTTTCCTACTTCAACTAATTATTAAATTGTTGTAAGT